TAATTCAAAACAGTCAATAAGTTTGCTAATTTAACAGTTTGCTACAAACATTTACTGACTTGGTTGAAATGAAATATTTACTATTTGATTTTGGGTTAGCGTAACTATTACAATGGATAAAAGCAAGAGAGCCTGGATAAATTTATATACTAAAAAGAAAACTGAATTAAGACTGTGCTGCTTTTCTTAGTAATCTATGAAAGAGCCGATTTGCAAACTATGGAAACATAGGAAAGTCATAGAACACTACCAAGGAGAATAAATAGAAATAATGTTTTGTTTTTAGAATTTATAATCGTTATTATGGACAACCTAATGCGGCTATAAGTTAGGCTATTTTTAGAAAACATTAAAAAACAAGATCCGCTTTAGAAAAATTATAAGATATTTACAAGAAATGTTGTGTCTGTTATGTACATCTTGAGTATTTCCAAAATCATTGAGTCAAATCTTTTAAAGTCCTCAGAAATTATGACTGTTATTCGTTTTAAAATAACACCGGCAATACTTAGCAATTGCTCGAATTCCTCGAGCAACAGGGACACTAGTTTTACTGATTTGTGGTAATTGCAGATGAAGACCCTCTAAGGCTAGATAAAACTGGTGTGGCAAGGACATGAAATCTATGTTTCCATAAAAGACCAGTGGAAACATATAGAAAACTAGCTGTTGTACCCGTGCTTTGCAACGGGAAGAGGACACAAAATAGAAACATTTTAATCTTTACATCTGTTGCATATAGTAGTTACACATCCGCCAACGCTTTTAGTAACAAAATTCAACTTGTAAGGCCTTAATAGAAACGTTTAAGTTATGACTTTTAAATTTGGTAAGTAGTGGATACCAACATTTTGGTTTAATTAATTTGATTAATTTTAAATCTTGTGTTAGGCTGATATGAGAAAAACAGACCAAATCTTCGAGTACAACTTTAACATACATTATTTACCTTTATCTACCTTCATTACATACCTTTTTTCTTTATTTTTGACATTTTAAATTTAAATTTTGAAGTTGCAAAAATAATAATTATTAAATTTAAATAAACATGTTTTTAAATTTCCCTTTTTTCATACTAAATCACAAATCCTTCGTTTCTTCACTCACAATAAATCATTAGTAAAACTAAGTTAATAAACTTAGAAATATTGTTGTGCCTTATCAATAGTCTTTTAAAATATTAAAGAAACTATATCTATACTATGACAATTTTGAAACGAATAATTTAGTTTTATATTTTGAGTTGTTTTGTCTTTGGATCACAGAACAAACTATAAAAGGTATAAAAAGAACACGATTACTGCCAGAATGATCCTGTTACTGTAATTTAGCATTAAAGACAGCAGACAAAACTAATACTGTACGATGATCAAAGCATCAAGGACTAATGGACTAAAAAATGTAATAGCAAGTACAGTTTATGTTTCATTGCATCTCTTATTGTACTCTACAAAAATACCAACAAACAATATACAAACCAGTTCTTTTAATCAGTTCCATCCTCCATTGCGTTTACATTTTCATTTGCACACTTACCATTAAGTAAAAATAGTAACAGATATTTTATTGATTTAAAAAAAAAAAAGAACACTGTGTACTGCTTAGTTTTATGATATTTTCCTTGGTTTAATTTAATCGGAGGTGTGGCAAAACACAAATAATAAATTTATCAAATAAAGTAAATGTGAACTGACAGCTATGTTAAGATAAAATAAGAGTATTTTGTATTACTATTTGGTCATTAAATATAGTTACACATATACAACAGATTTTAGAACACAAAAATCAACAACGTACAATTTAGTTATTGAAGATATTCTTTATATTAATTTAAGAATAGGTTTAGCAAAACACAATACCTAAATTTACATATGTATAAAAAACAATGTGATGTGCAAGCTATGTTAAGTTAATCTAACACATGTTAAACAGTTCAAATTTATTTAAGTAGCCTCCAAATTCATAGAAAACATCTATACATTGTAATTTTCTTACTGTTTCCATGAAAATATATCAATAACATTATTTTCATAACACTTAAGACACTTTAAAAATCGAAAGCAGAGTCTGAGTTGATACAGCAACGCTTTTAAAATTTTTTTTCTATAATCATTGACATAGTTTTTGAATAAACGATCTTTGATAATTTTTAGATGAAATAAACCAACCACATAATTGTGTGAAATATTATATTTAATTTCACTGGATCAGCTGTCTTAAATTGTGAAATATGCAATTTGGCAGTTCTTCTTGTTTACATTGAAATGTCAAAGCAAATGTTAACATTGTGAGTATTCTTATTGCAGCCATGGAGACCAATCAATATTTACTTTTTAAATCCTCATTTCAGAACTTTTAAAGCCAAAGGGGCAAAGCCCACGGTCAGGATCGAAGTTTGAATAGTCCTATAATGGTCCTTGGTATGGTAGCTATATTTTTGTAAAATTTAAGCCCAGTTGGTTCAGTAGTTGTTGCACCTATTAGTAACACAAATACAGACAGACACCTTTAGATTTTTATATAATATTTTATATAATATTTTTATATAAGATGTCCGCAATAAACCTTTGAACAAGATAATCAAATGCTGCACACTGTCTAAAGTAAGAATAAGAATAAAAATAATATTATAGCCGGATGTAAATTACATTTAAAAGGCAAATTAAAAAAAAATATCTTCTAATGGGATCGGCTAAAAGTTTTTTTTATATCGATATTTTGTTGCGTCAAATCCCATTTTGAGCCTACTATTGAATTTCTTCAAGCTATGACAGTTTTTCATTTCATTAGGCAATTTATTAAACATTCTCGGTGCTAAGAATTTGTAACCAAGAGTAAAATAAGTATTAAAGGCCTGGACACAGAGACATTGTTGGCATTCCTCAATCTGTTTTTATAACTATTTGTTGTACACAAATAAGTTTTTCAAAGGTAGCATATTTAATTTCACAAACAATGGAAAGGATTACTCTGTTTTAGCTTTCTTTAAAATCACTCTGGATTGGTTTGACATTTACATCACAGGCTGCTACCCAAAAAGTCAAAGCATATTCTATTCTGCTATGAACAGTCGAGAAATATATCATACGTAAAACATCCTCTGGAATTCCAAGATTGTTCAAGAAATAAAATAATCTCAAGGAATAACTCAACTTACTTTGCTTGTCACTCTAAAATGCTTGTCAAGTAAAACAAACCAAACCGACAGCATTAAGGGTTAGATTTAAATTCGGAATTGTATTTAATACTACTGTACTAGCATATTTGCTTCTCAAAATGGGCTTTTGCCAGCATTCAGTCAATGTTTTCTACCCTCTTACTCATACATACTTGTTTTAAGTTGTACATGTTCTTGGAATTATGTATCAACTATGAAGGATTGGTGATTCACACTCGAGTCACGATCAGACGATTTTTTTCAACATTCGTATACAATGATGTTGCTAATTTCACAGTGATTAAAAATAAAAGTCACTGGGACTAATGTCTAATGCGTTTTCAGTCTTAAAAATTAGAGTAACGTTATTCTCTGTCTGCTATTGGAATAGAGTAGTAATTATAATATGCATTCCCTAAACAAACGGATTTAAAAGGAATAAACAGCATTTGTCACGAAAACTCACTGTATAAATATATGAATTATTTTAAAATACATTTAAGATGCATAATACATCATGTCGATGTGCAATATCTCTCTTCTTGATTTCAGTATAAAACATTCTATGACAGAACAAACTATTCACTTAAGTTAGTAAATTTATATTGAATTTTGTCTAAATGTTATAGTGTTTTGGATTTGGTTTACAAATTTTAATTTTAGTCACCTTGCTATAAAATATCATTAGTTAAATTTATTGAATAATCAATAGCTTGCAAACTGTATATAAGGGCTGTGTGGTTTTCTGTAGAAATCCTCATGTTTGAAAAAGTAACAGACAAAATTAATTGCTTAAAACTCTTGAGAAGAGGGATATATTTTATAGCCTTCTTATTTTTTTATCCATTCTCCATGTACTTAGTTTACTATAAAAATAAATCTTAGTAACATTATACTATACATTGAAAAAAATTAACCTCCCCCCAACCATAAATTTTTTATATTGGGTCTCCCCTCCAACATTGTTGTAAACCTCATATGATTGTGTATATTATTGAATAATTTGTTATTGATGGAAGACAAAATTATACATAGAAGAAACCCCCAACTCAATATTCATATTCATAGACAGTACCACACGCTTAAAGATATGTCAATCTAAATATATAAAAGGCAAAGCCCTCACTGACTGACTCGCTCACTCACTCACTCACTCACTCATCACTAATTCTCTTACTTCCCATTTACCTAGGAGGCTGAAATTTGGTACACTGATTCTTTAGGCATTAAATAGGAAAACTAAGCTGTTTTTATTCTGATCGGACTCTCGGGCTCCGCCCCAGTTGCTCTGGAGTTTCCCATGTTAACCTTATGATTACTCATATTTAAATGGAATTAATGAATCTTTACAGCTGTTTCAATTAAACAAGTTGGTTCTGTTCTATGATGTTCAATAGCATTAAAGTTACAAGGATTACCAACAGGGTGCAGCACTATTATTTCTTTTACATTTATGACAACAGCTATTTTGCAACCAAAAGGTGAGTGAGCGTAGCGAACGAACTTCAACCTGGAGGCGAGTTAGCGTAACGAACGAGCTAACCTGAAGGCAAGTGAGCGCAGCGAACGAGCTCCAACCTAAAAGTGAGTGAGCGTAGCGAACGAACTTCAACCAGGACGTGATTGAGCCATGCAAACGCGCTCACTTATGAAGTTAAACGGGGCAAAGCCCGAGGTTACAGCTAGTAAACTATAAATATTACTAAAACACAAAAACTATAATTTTTTTCCGTCCATCTAAAGGTGTATGTATTACATCGTAAACCTTAATATTCTCGGGTAAAAAAACTCTATAAAAATTAGATATTTTCAGTGATAGTAACAAAGTCTCGTCCCTTTGCAGGAGTTCCTCGCTGCAATGACAGCTTGCCTACTCACCCAGCTGCCAGCTCAGGCCTCTGTGTTGTGGACCTTCTCGTTTGCTAATGCTACTACTCGGCAACGAGAAGAAGGCAGCAACGTGCTTCAAGAAATCAGTAGCTACTTGCTCCTATGAATAAAAAGTGAACAAATAGGTAATCGTTGATCACACCAGCAGCTCTTCAAAGTTTCGTAACACCTCTGAAACTAAACGGTCAGTTTCATCTAGCCCCGACGGTGGACACTACTTCACGGAGCAAGCAACAGTTTAAAAACTGGAGCCCCTGTCTACGCCGGTGGTACAGTTGGAACGAAATATTCAGGTTAATCTTCAGGCACATCGGGAACTGTTGATCGTTTACCTTATGCTCAAAACCATCTGTGCAGCATCAACTTCCCGCTGGCTCTCTAGAATCAACAATTATCCAACTATCCTCAACCGTGGACTCTTTAAGCTCAGGGGTCCCTGGCTACGCTGGACGAAACTCCGAACTATTATTTGTAAAACTGTCTTGGCTGATTGGCAACCAATAAGGCCAAAATTTCATTATGTGTTTTCCGAAAAAAAAAAAACAATGTCCCCCGAACAGAGCCCAGCATAGACATAGTTTTTAGTCTAAAACGAATATAAACCATTTACTTTCTCCCCTTATACATAGTTTAAGGAGAAAGTGTTGTTTTCGTCAACATTTTCGAGTTTGAGTTTTGAGTGGATATATCCGTTTTGGGTCCCTCCGGACCCAAAAAAAATTGTTTTCAAAGTGATCATCCCATAATTATGTTTCGAACCGCATATGCGTATGACCCCTATTTCTGGCCGTAGGCCATCTTGCGTAAGGACCCCATATTAGGTGCGTTACACCCCGTAGTCAGTGTCATGTTCAAATTTGAGGTCCGTGACAAGATGTGTAAAAGATTGTTGGTGTGTATTTTGAAAAATATTCACACACACATGAAAAAAATGATAAAACATGATAAAATGCATTTAACTCTTAGGGCCCCATGATAGGGTTTGAGGACGGGGCCCCAAAACAAGTGTGGACCATATAAATGTGTGTGTGTGTGTGTGTGTGTGTGTGTGCGTGTGAGTGTGTGGATGTGTACTACACCTGTGGTCCAATTTAGAGCAAATCTGGTAAGTAGTAAAATCTGTATCTCCTGGTCCTAATCTATGGTATCTCCAGAAGTTTATTTTTTACTATTTTTGAAGTTTTGATTTTTAATGGTGATTTTCCCATAAAACAGCGGAAAAATCAGATTTTCTCAAAAATGACTCGAACGATTTTGATAAAAGTTTAGTATGTTTTAGACCTTTAAATTCCGAACAAAATTGTACAACTCCAATTCCTGTAAAAATTACGTTTTAAAAGTTATTGTACTATTGTTATTTTCCCTTTAAAACCCATTTAAATGCGGAAAAATTGTATTTTTCGGGAAAACCCGACTCTGATTGAAAATTGTCTGTTATTGCCCTTATAATTATAAACAAAATTGTTCAACCCCTCATTCCTGTAAAAATTAAGGTTCAAAAGTGAATGCAACTTTTGTGATTTTTACATTTTAGTAACTATGATTAGTTAGTTACTCTCATCGCTTACCCATGATAAATGGGAGAAAGTATGTGTCAGATTGCTGATACCGTCTATATAAAACGAATGTCTGTTCTGTTCCCTTTAACTGTGCGATGAGAGGGACACAGACAAACATCACAGACTCAAGTAACTGCCTATTGTTGCACCTGCGACACTATCTACCGAGCACATTGCTCGCACTGTTGAATTGGCGTTGCACGTTTCAGATTAACAGCCGTCTAAAAAGCGTGATAAAAGGTGTGGTTTCAACGCCTGAACTTTCATCGTTATCTCTTTCGAAGACCAGGTAGCGATCCTCCGGACCATACTAATGCACTTTGGTCGCAGAGAATGCTTAGAATCTGTAAGATTGGAAGAAATCGCAGTTTCCAGTATTTCCAGAATTTTCAGTGCTGTTCTATTATGAAATTTAATATTCGCAATATTTGCATTCCATTTAATGTTACCCCCGCTGCAGCAAACCTGTCGACTAAGCGAATTTCCATTTGCCTGGATTGATTTTCAATTAATCTATTAAATTAAAATTTATGTTTTACGAGTACCTAGGTTATCTGCTACAGGAAAACTAATAAAGTGTGTTTTTTTAATTAAAATATCAATAGCTTAGTATGAAATAAATAAATCAGCCAAGTTTGATCAAAATATATCCATAAACAAGCCAACTACAACATATTATAATATTGTCCATAAGAATAGCATGGGAATTTTTGAATTTTCTCCGTAGCCAATCACCGCACAAAAACACTTTGGAATGCCAAATTATTTGTTTTTTATGCTCTTTAAAAAGGTTTGGAGAAAAATTTATAAATGTTGTGTTTGTTTAAAAGATTTTACAATTTTCCCAATATAGATCTCGCCGTCAAGTTTTGTAATGCGTAGGCCCAATTTTTTGAAGTTCAATCACGCATTAACCACTTGACGGATTGGGCTGAAATTTGGCATGATGATAGCTCACATTCCTGATTAACATATAGACCTATTCTTATCTCAAAAATCGTTTAGTGCTCCACCCCAGTGGCTCTGTACTTCCCAATGTTAACCTTATAAGTATTCACATTTAAAAGGCTGTTTCAACTGAACAAGTTGGTTCTATGATGTGCAATAGCAGTATATAGTTATAAGGTTTACCAACAGGGTGCAGAACTATTTTTGTTTTAATTTCTGTGGTATAAACACAAAAACATTAAGCAAACTAGTTAAAGAAAGAACATTTTAATCTTCATGCCATCTCAACACTAACTAAAATCATCACAAAAAACATAAACAAACATAAGCTATATGCTTTCAACAAGACAATAAAATAAAGACTATTAAACATGGGGTCCAATATGACACTTCTCCCCCTCCAGATAAACCTCCACTTCTCTTACGTAGTTGGCCTGCGTGTTTTCGCTTCAGAAGTCCACGTGCACGAACTTGGTAGGATAGCTCACCAGTTCTTGATGTAATCACTCCTGGAGTCCAGCTATTTCTCTCTGCACCCAGACTTCCCCCCCCTCTGAAAATTAACTATTTCTTTAACTAGTTTGCTTTATTTTTGGTGATTATACTACACTGGCGACGAGGATGGGATGAAATAATTTTGCATCTTCTGGAGTAGTACACTTCACTTCCCACATAAGCCAGTAGTAAGTATTTTCTCGCTTCTTTACTACGCTCATCTGAACCCCCCAATCCTTTCACCCGATAGACGTTGAAAATGTTCAACATACTCTTCTGCTGTTTCTTAACATTTGTATTTATCAAAGAAAACTTCTCCATTTTCCTCTCCAACTCACTGTGAGGCTCTAAATTAACTTCCCTATCACTCTTCTGCTTCCTTCTAGACATCCTCAACGCTAGTATAGTATAATCACCAAACGACGTGGCCGGTGACCTTTGATAAGACAATTTATTATTTTACAGTCACAGGTCACCGATAGACTCACGGACAACTACCAGTACAGAGCAACGGGAGTTCCCAGGTACGAATGGGAGAAACGTGGCCGGTGACATTTGATAAGACAGTTTATTATTGTACGGTCACAGCATATATATAGACACACAAACATCTACCAGTGCAGAGCCATGGGAGTTCCCAGGTACGAATGGGAGAAACGTGGCCGGTGACATTCGATAAGACAGTTTATTATTGTACAGTCACAGCATGTAGATAGACACACGGACATCTACCAGTGCAGAGCCATGGGAGTTCCCAGGTACGAATGGGAGATACGGGGCCGGTAACTTTTGATAAGACAATTTATTATTGTACAGTCACAGCATGTAGATAGACTCACGGAAATCTACCAGTGCAGAGCCATGGGAGTTCCCAGGTACGAATGGGAGAAACGTGGCCGGTGACATTTGATAAGACAGTTTATTATTGTACAGTCACAGCATGTAGATAGACACACAAACATCTATCAGTGCAGAGCCATGGGAGTTCCCAGGTACGAATGGGAGAAACGTGGCCGGTGACATTTGATAAGACAATTTATTATTTTACAGTCACAGCTCACCGATAGACTCACGGACAACTACCAGTACAGAGCCACGGGAGTTCCCAGGTACGAATGGGAGAAACGTGGTCGGTGACATTTGATAAGACAATTTATTATTGTACAGTCACAGCTCACCGATAGACTCAGGGACATATACCAGTGCAGAGCCACGGGAGTTCCCAGGTACGAATGGGAGAAACGTGGCCGGTGACATTTGATAAGACAGTTTATTATTGTACAGTCACAGCTCACCGATAGACACACAAACATCTACCAGTACAGAGCCATGGGAGTTCCCAGGTACGAATGGGAGAAACGTGGCCGGTAACTTTTGATAAGATAGTTTATTATTGTACAGTCACAGCTCACCGATTGACACACGGACATCTCAAAGTACAGAGCCGTGGGAGTTCCCAGGTACGAATGGGAGAAACGTGGCCGGTGACATTCGATAAGACAGTTTATTATTGTACAGTCACAGCATGTAGATAGACACATAGACATCTACCAGTGCAGAGCCATGGGAGTTCCAAGGTACGAATGGGAGAAACGTGGCCGGTTACTTTTGATAAGACAATTTATTATTGTACAGTCACAGCATGTAGATAGACTCACGGACATCTACCAGTGCAGAGCCATGGGAGTTCCCAGGTACGAATGGGAGAAACGTGGCCTGTAACATTTGATAAGACAATTTGTTATTGTACAGTCACAGCATGTAGATAGACTCACGGACATCTACCAGTGCAGAGCCACGGGAGTTCCCAGGTACGAATGGGAGAAACGTGGCCGGTGACATTCGATAAGACAGTTTATTATTGCACAGTCACAGCATGTAGATAGACACATGGACATCTACCAGTACAGAGCCGTGGGAGGTCCCAGGTACAAATGGGAGAAACGTGGCCGGTGACATTTGATAAGACAGTTTATTATTGTACAGTCACAGCATGTAGATAGACACACGGACATCTACCAGTACAGAGCAACGGGAGTTCCCAGGTACGAATGGGAGAAACGTGGCCGCCAACTTTTGATAAGACAATTTATTATTGTACAGT